GCAGGGCGGCCCCGTCTCACAGGAGAGAGCAGGGCGGCCCCGTCTCACAGGAGAGAACAGTGCGGCCCCGTCTCACAGGAGAGAACAGGGTGGCCCCAGGGTTAAGTGAATGGTCCTAGATCACGCACTGGTTAGTGACCAAGCTGGGAATGAATTTCAGCTTTTCCTGAATTTTATACTCATAAATTGTTCAGAAAATTAAGATGTAGAACAGAGTACAGCACAGCAAAATGCAGTAGGTAATAGGTTAAGCATTTTGTACTCCACTTAGTCGTTTTCTTTGCACAGAAAACTATGAGGTTTAGGAGTTTTTAATGCTGTTCGGAGATGAGGAAGCTTCCTCGGAGGTAAGATCAGTGTGGACTGATGGTGTCCGGGGAAGTTAGTTAGTGGATGATTTAGGTCTCAGTGTGAGATCAGTATAGAGGAGTGAGAGGAGGTACAGTGAGGAGGCAGGTTTGAGTGAGGATAGTTACATATCTTTCTGGGGCTGTGTAATGGTTAAGACAAACCAAAGAACACTGGGCAGTAAAAAGCAATTCTTAGTAATTTGCACCCGTCTTATGGAGGCTTTGTGAGTTGCCGCTCCGCCTGTGGTGCACAGTGTTGGTAAGCCTGTGGGCTTAGTGTGGGCACAGTCCTGGTGCCCACAGGACTCTGAGGCTCTGTTCATTTTCTTCATTTTTTCTTTCTTGTCCTAGCATTTATCTCAGTTGATCTCTCTTCACGTTTGCTGACTCATTCTTTTGCCAGCTCAGATCTTCTGTTGAGCCCCTCTAGTGAATTTTTCGTTTTAGTTTTCATATCTTTCAATTTAGATTTCTTTCTTTTTGATTTTTTTTTTTTTTGAGGCAGAATCTTACTAGGTCACCCTGGGTAGAGTACTGTGACATCACAGCTCACAGCAACCTCCAACTCATGGGCTCAGGTGATTCTCTTGCCTTAGCCTCCCAGGTAGCTGGGACCATAGGCACCTGCCACAAGGCCCGGCCATTTTTTGGCCTAGGCGGGATTTGAACCTGCCAGTTCCAGTGTATGTGGCTGGCACCCTAGCCGCCTGAGCTACAGGCACGGAGCCTCAGTTTAGATTTATGTTTGGTTATTTTTTGAGTCAAATGCAGACAGTGCTTGAGTCATTGTCTTTATGCTTCCCTTTAATTCTTTAAGCACAGTTTCCTTTAGTTCTTTGGACGTATTTATAAAAGCTGCTTTGAAGCCTCTGTCTGATATCCGCTCGACAGTTTCCATTAAGTGCCTGTGGGTGTTATACGTGCCTGTGGGTGCATGTAGGTGCCTGTGGGTGCATGTAGGTGCCTGTGTGGGTCACACTTTGTTTCTTTGCATGTCTTGTAGTTTTTAAAACTGAAAATGAGGCCTTTGAGAAGGTATTGGATTTGTTGTTTCTGTTCGCTGGGTTAGTGATTTACCTGGGCTCTCCCACAGTAGCTATTCCCCTACTTCTCATTTTTAGTTTCTTTTTTTCTTTTTCTTTTTTTTTTTGCAGTTTTTGGCCTGGGCTGACTTTGAACCCGCCACCTCCAACGTATGGGGCCAGCGCCCCACTCCTTTGAGCCACGGGCACCACCCTCGTTTTTAGTTTTAAATCTTCCTTCCTAGGGTTCACAGCTGGGCAGCACAGATTGACCAGAGCTTGTGCTTAGACTCCTTTAACCACTCAGGGCCCCTCTGTGGGTGGATCTGCACATGGGGGCCATGCTAGGTGTGGAGGTTATTTTTAAAGCTTAAAAGTCAATGGAATCACAAAGAAGAAAAAGATCAAAGTCTTTTAGGCTCCATACTAAAAGTTTAGTAATTAGTAAATAATTACTAAAAACATTATAAGCCAAATTACAAGTTAACTGGGACCTTATTGGCAGTAGGTTCAATACAGGCTATCTTGAATGTCTGAAGAGCTTATGGGGACAGCACGTTAAGATTAACAGATAAGAGGGGAAGTAGAATGGCTTTAAAAGAATAGTTAAACTTACTGTAAAAAACTTGATAGCAGCTATTTCATCTATTCAGTGAACAAAGATTTAAGGAGAAAATCTTCAGTTGTAATGATGGACTTTCTCAAAAGTAATACAGTAGGTATTAGTGGAATTCTCAAAACCTTTAAGCCCTTTAATCAGTAATTCTACTTCTTAAAGTCCACTCCAGAGAAATACCTGAAATGTGTTCAGAGATTAGTAAGGGTGTTTTTAGTGGATTGTTTGTTATAGTAATAAATTGTAGGCAACCTAAACAAACAGTACCAGAGGGATTCAGCAGTGGGTGGCATATCTATTTGTGATAATTAAAATGCATGCGGGTCTTTAAAAAATATTTTAAAAAATCTCTTCATGCTAAGTGCAATAAGTAGGTTATGAAATTACCAGGTCACATCTAGTGACAGTAGGGTGCCGTGGAAACAGAAGGCCTGCGCTGGGCCTGCCATTTCTTCTGGTGGCAAAATTCTAGGGGTTGTGTAGCAGTGGGTGGTGCCTCAGAGGCGGAGCTACTCATTTGTCCCCTGGTGCATGTGTTGTTTGGAGCCAGATGGTGGCAGTGTCTTAGGGGGCCCTTGTCATAG